CCTTTGTACTTTCTCTAACTTCTTGACGTGCTTGACCAGGTGTGGGTTCCAGACTGGTGCTGCATACTCCAGTATGGGCCTAACATACACAGTGTACAGTGTCTTGAACGATTCCTTATTAAGGTATCGGAAAGCTATTCTCAGGTTTGCCAGGTGCCCGTATGCTGCAGCAGTTATTTGGTTGATGTGTGCCTCCGGTGACGTGCTCGGTGTTATGGTTACCCAAAGATCTTTCTCCCTGAGTGAGGTCTGTAGTCTTTGTCCACCTAGCCTATACCCTGTCTGTGGTCTTCTTTGCCCCTCCCCAGTCTTCATGACTTTGCATTTGGCAGGGTTGAATTCGAGAAACCAGTTTCTGGACCTCGTGTCCAGCCTGTCCAGGTCTCTTTGCAGTCCTGCCTCATCCTCATCCAATTTAATTCTTCTCATCAGCTTCACATCATCTGCGAATAGGGACACTTCAGAGTCTATTCCTTCCATCATGTCATTTGCATATATCAAAAATAGCACTGGTCCTAGAACTGACCCCTGTGGGACCCCGCTCGTCACAGGCGCCCACTGTGATACCTCTTCACGTACCATGACTCGTTGTTGCCTCCCTGTCAGGTATTCCCTGATCCATTGCAGTGCCCTCCCTGTTATATGCGCCTGATCCTCTAGCTTCTGTACTAATCTCTTGTGAGGAACTGTGTCAAAAGCCTTCCTGCAGTCCAAGAAAATGCAATCAACCCACCCCTCTCTCTCGTGTCTTACTTCTGTTACCTTGTCATAAAACTCCGGAAGGTTTGTGACACAGGATTTGCCTTCCATGAATCCATCCATGACTTTGCATACTATACAAGTCAGAGTCACAGGTCTGTAGTTTAGTGTTTCATTTCTGTCTCCTTTCTTAAATATGGGGACTACATTTGCCGTCTTCCATATCTCAGGTAGTTGCCCAGTTTCTGCTCCTTCTCCAAGGACCCACGGGGAGATGTTGTCCGGTCCCATCGTCTTTGAGGTATCAAGGTCACTTAGCAGCTTCTGCAACTCCTCCTCGGTTGTTCGTATGTCATCCAACACTTGTTGGTATATTCCCTCTTGATGTTCTCTTCTGTGCTGTCTTCCCAGAGCCCTTCCTGTCTCTACTGTAAAAACTTCCTTAAATCTCCTGTTTAGCTCCTCACATACTTCCTGATCATTTCTTGTGAGTTCTCCACCTTCTGTCCTCAGTCTGATCACCTGGTCTTTGACTGTTATCTTCCTCCTGATGTGGCTATACAACAGTTTCGGGTCAGTGTTGACTTCCGATGCTATGTTATTTTCATACTGTCACTGGGCCTCCCTCCTTACCTCTGCATACTCGTTCCTGGCTCTGCGACTAATCTCCCTATTTTCATGTGTTCTCTGCCTTCTGTACTTTTTCCATTCTCTATTGCACTTAGTTTTTGCCTCCTTACACCGCCGGGTAAACCAGGGGCTCGTTCTGGTCTTCCCATTGTTTCTGTTGCCCTTGGGAATAAACCGTTTCACTGCCTCCTTGCATTTTGTTGTTACATATTCCATCATTTCATTTACTGGCTTTCCTGCCAGTTCTCTGTCCCACGGTACCTCCTGCAGGAAGTTCTTCAAACCTATATAGTCCCCTATTTTATAGTCTGGCTTTTCCCATTCAACTCCTGTTACTCTCTCTATTTGCAACTCTACTATGTATTCAAAGCACAGAACCATGTGGTCACTAGCTCTTAGGGGACCCTCATATGTGATGTCCTCAAGGTGAACACAAGGTCCAATCTTGCTGGTTCGTCCTCCTCTCTCACTCTGGTAGTGTCCTTAACATGTTGGTGCATGAGGTTTTCCAGCACCACATCCAACATCTTGGCTCTCCATGTTTCGGGACCCCCATGTGGCTCCAGGTTTTCCCAGTCAATCTCCATGTGGTTGAAATCACCCATAACCAGCAACTTTGCTCTGCTGGAGTGAGCTCTTCTTGCCACCTCAGCAAGTGTGTCCACCATTGCTCTGTTGCTCTCTTCATATTCCTCTCTTGGCCTCCTGCAGTTCTGTGGTGGGTTATACATCACTGCAATGACCACCTTATGCTCCCCAGACTGAAGTGTACCTACTATGTAGTCCCTTTCTCCTGTCTCGTCTATGCCTCCCATTTTCTCGAATTTCCATCGTTTTTTTACGAGCAGAGCAACCCCTCCTCCCCCTCTGCCCCTTCTATCTTTCCTCATGATCTGATATCCTGGTGGGAAGATTGCATCTGTTATTGTCTCAGTGAGTTTTGTTTCTGTAACTGCTATGATGTCTGGGGACTTCTCATTGATTCTTTCTTGCCACTCCTCATATTTATTCGTTAATCCATCCGCATTTGTGTACCAAACCTTCAACTTATGTTCTAATACTGTAACTGTGGTCCTGGGGGAATACTGGGTGCGTGTGCTTGCCTAGTTGGACTCACCTAGTTGTCGACCTAGTGGTCGATTCACAGCTTCTGGCCCCCACCTCTTCACTGGTCGCTACCAGGTCACTTTTACTGCTCCATAAGCTTTATCATACCTTTTCTTTAAGCTATGTATGGATCCTGCCTCCACTATATCACTTCTCAGATTTTTCCACTTCCTGACAACCCAGTAACTGAAGTAATACTTCCTAGCAACCCTTCGATTCATCTGAATATTCAACCTCCAACTGTGACTCCTTGTTGCTGTGTCTCATCTCTGGAATATCCTGTCTCTGTCCACTTTGTCGATTCCTCTCAGTATTATATACGTCGTTATCATATCCTCCCTATCTCTCCTGTCCTCCAGTGTAGTCACGTCGATTTCTCTTAACCTCTCCTTGTAGGACATGTCCCTTAGCTCTGGGACTAGTGTTGTTGCAAACCTTTGCACTTTCTCTAATCTCCTTACTTGCTTGGCAAGGTGTGGGTTCTAAACTGGTGCTGCATATTCCAATACAGGCCTAACGTACACGGTGTAAAGGGTCCTAAACGTTTCCTTATTGAGCTGTTGGAATGATGTTCTTAGGTTCGCTAGGTGCCCGTATGCTGCAGCAGTTATTTGGTTGATGTGCACCTCAGGAGATGTGCCTGGTGTTGTACTCACCCCACAATCCTTGTCCATAAGTGAAGTTTGTAGTCTCTGGCCCCCTTGACTACTCTCCATCTGTTGTCTTCTTTGCCCTTCCCCAATCTTCATGACCTTGCACTTGGTGGGGTTGAACTCAAGGAGCCAGTTGCTGGATCAGGCCTGCAGACTGTTCAGATCCCTTTGTACTTCTGCCTGGTTCTCGTCCGATTGAATTCTTCTCATCAACTTCACATCTGCAAAGAGGGACATTTCTGATTCAATTCCTTCCGTCTTGTCGTTCACGAATACCAGAAACAGCACTGGTCCTAGGACTAGCCCCTGTGGAACTCCACTAGCCACAGACGCCCACTCTGACACCTCGTCAGGTAAACTCGCTGTTGTCTTCCTAACAGCTATTCCCGGATCCACTGCAGTGCCTTCCCTGTTATCCCTGCCTAATCCTCGCCCTTTGGTGTGTGTACTCACCTAGTAAAGAGACCCCGCTTCTTTACTGATCACTACTAGGTCCTCTCTCTCCCTACTCCATGAGCTTCATCAAACCTCGTCTTACAACTTTGTATTGTTCCTGCCTCCATTACATCACTTGCCAGACTATTCTACTTCCTGATAACTCTATGACTAAGGAAATACTTCCTAACATCCCACTGACTCATCTGAGTCTTCAGCTTCCAATTGTGACTCCATGTTTCTGTGTCCTTTCTCTGGAACATCCTGTCTCTGTCTACCTTATCTATTCCACGCAGTATTTTATATGTCGTTGTAAGGGAAAAGTTCAACAGATAGGAGTAGCAAGCGAGTATATGGTGACGATAGTTTGATTGCCAGTCTGCTTGTAGAGGTAGGGTCAGTCTAGTTCCCTCTATCCCCCCCTCCTTTTTCCACCCGGAAAGGTGACGTGTGGGGCTCCGACCAAATGGATAATCACTTGACTCACAGCTCCCAGCACAACTGTAAGTAAAAGCTTCTGCTTCTATTCTAGTGGATATATTGGTTAAAAGCTTCACTTTTAACCAATTTTAAGACATAGTTCATTATGCCTTGATTTCCATGTGCTTTTAGATAATCACCATGTTTTTAAATACTTGTCATGGAGAGTGATTTCTTAGGCAGTGGGTAACCTTTGTCTCTTTCTAGCTTGGAATGTCAGCTCGGGTCATCTGGCAACCAAAGAAACAGTGTTGAAGGAGACGAACTTTACCTAAGCTCTGGGACGTCACCATTTTATCTGCATACCTGAGTGTAGTCAACCCCAGGCAACTACCTCTCATCTTTGCAGTGGTGAAAGACCTGCGTTCCTATCATATTGACGGACTATTCAAGGCTAGAGACTCTGTGAAGAACTAGTCGTTGGATTGTCACTTAACATCTGTGCCCCTCCCCCCCATCATCAGCAACAGCTACAATTTCTACAATATGAGGTGTCAACAACATCCACCAGACACCACAGTCTAACTGTACATATTAGCGTTGAATTCAGATGTCATTTTTATATTTCATTTCTCATTTCTCTTTCAAGTAGGATAAAATTCATATTTAATTGTTTTATATTTTAATTTCTAAATAATAAAGTGTTTATATTTGACTGTTATTATTCTTTTTCTATTCATTAATTTTCCTGAGGAGGAGCCAGCCTTGATAATACTTACTGAAGTTGTTACAGGGCTGAGTAAATCTACACAGTCGTTATCAGGTCTCCCCTGACCCTCCTGTGTGTGTGTGTGTGTCATCCTTCCTTTTAATTTGGGTTTTTAATTTGGGTTTTCTGATTATATGATTAGTTTTAAATTCTTTGTCATTTATTTAAGGATTTTTTTAATACAAATCTCACGGAATATATTTTCCAGTGTTTAATCTACGCTAAATTTCAACTTCAGAAAAAGGTTAGAGTAAGATTTTCTGATGACTTTTGACATATTCTTTCAGAAAATGGACAGTTCAGCGGCCAGCAAAGTCACAGCACTGAAGAAAGAAGTAGATTACTTGACCTATATATTGAATGAAACTGGCAGCTTAGCGATCAATACTCAGGTAAATAGAACATTAATGTTGTTTAAAATATCTCATATATATATATATATATATATATATATATATATATATATATATATATATATATATATATATATATAATATATATATATATATATATACTATATGTGGTGAATGGTTTTGAAAACCTACAACTTGAAGAATTGAGACACTTATGCAACACATGGGAATCTTTATTGAAGGAACGTTTCGCCACACAGTGGCTTCATCAGTCCAATACAAAGTAGAAATGTGCAAGAAAGGTATAAAATACCGACAATATAAAAGTTAAGACACATGTGCAACATCTGGATATCTTTATTGTAGACGTTTCGCCATCCAGTGGCTTTATCAATACAGATTCTAGGACATAATATGAAGACAGTAGAACTATATACAAAAGATGAAGTAATCAGTCCCTTGGCCTTGGAGTTAGTGTTCACAGCATCGTGGTGGAGGAGAATCTGGAGCAAAGGCAAGAAGACTGGCGTTTATATAGGCGTCAGTGGAAGGGACGGGCAGCAGACGAGGGCAGTCACTGGTAGGCGGGATTCCCCAGTGGAAGTAGGTCCTTCCCAAAGAGATGGGTTAGTTGCAGGAGCCGTGAAGAAGGTCTTGTAGATGTCCTTTGAACCAAGATTCCATGATGTTGTCGGTATTTTATACCTTTCTTGCACAACTTGTCAGACACTACAACATCATGGAATCTTGGTTCAGAGGACATCTACAAGACCTTCTTCACGGCTCCTGCAACTAACCCATCTCTTTGGGAAGGACCTACTTCCACTGGGGAATCCCGCCTACCAGTGACTGCCCTCGTCTGCTGCCCGTCCATTCCACTGACGCCTATATAAACGCCAGTCTTCTTGCCTTTGCTCCAGATTCTCCTCCACCACGATGCTGTGAACACTAACTCCAAGGCCAAGGGACTGATTACCTCATCTTTTGTATATAGTTCTACTGTCTTCCTATTATGTCCTAGAATCTGTATTGATAAAGCCACTGGATGGCGAAACGTCTACAATAAAGATATCCAGATGTTGCACATGTGTCTTAACTTTCACAAAGTAGAAATGGGTAAGGAGAGTAGAAGTTTGAGGTAATCAGTCCCTCAACCTGGAATCGATGTGTTCAGTCCATCACTTTTGTAGGAAGTGCAGCACAGGGCCAGAGAGGTGGCTTATATACTGCGGTGAGATGAGTTGAAGCAGGAGGAGGCGGGATCACAGTGGGACCTGCCATTAGTGTATATATATATATATATATATATATATATATATATATATATATATATATATATATATATATATATATATATATATATATATATATATATATATATGTCGTGCCTAGGTATAGGTTGGTAAACAGCAACCACCCAGGGAGGTACTACCGTCCTGCCAAGTGAGTGTACAACGAAAGCCTGTAATTGTTTTACATGATGGTAGGATTGCTGGTGTCTTTTGTCTGTCTCATAAACATGCAAGATTTCAGGTATGTCTTGCTACTTCTACTTGCATTTAGGTCACACTACACATACATGTACAAGCATATATATACACACACACACCCTCTGGGTTTTCTTCTATTTTCTTTCTAGTTCTTGTTCTTGTTTATTTCCTCTTACCTCCATGGGGAAGTGGAACAGAATTCTTCCTCCGTAAGCCATGCGTGTTGTAAGAGGCGACTAAAATGCCGGGAGCAAGGGGCTAGTAACCCCTTCTCCTGTATATATTACTAAATTTAAAAAGAGAAACTTTAGTTTTTTCTTTTGAGCCACCCTGCCTCGGTGGGATACGGCTGGTATGTTGAAAGAATGAAAGATATATTATATATATATATATATATATATATATATATATATATATATATATATATTATATATATATATATATATATATATATATATATATATATATATATATATATATATATATGTCGTGCCGAATATGCAAAACTGGTCAATTAGCAAGAACTCATTTAAAATTAAGTCCTTTCTAAAATTTTCTCTTATACGTTTGAAGATATATTTTTTTCATTAATGTTGATGTAAAAATTTATAATTTTGCACCAAAAGGAACTTAGAAAACTTACCTAACCTTATTATAATAAGCTCAATTTATTTTAGCCTAACCTAACTAAATATAATTTAGATTTGTTTAAAATAATTTAATACTAAACAAACACAGTGAAATATATTTTTTTCGTTAGGTTCAGAATGATTTTGGCGAAATTATTGCATACACAAATTTTCACTTGTCCTATATGGCAAGATGAACGTTGCTATTTAAGCCAAGATCGCAAGTTCTGCCTATTCGGCACGACATATATATATATATATATATATATATATATATATATATATATATATATATATATATATATATAATATATATATATATATATATATACATATATATATATATATATATATATATCAAGACTATTGTAACTATAAATGCTATACGAAACTTAATTAATTAACAATTGCGAGTTTACTGAGTTATATCTTTAATTTCTAGGAGTTCCAGCAACAGAAAATATCAGATTTAACCAAACAAAATGAAGCTAATAAAAAAGTGATCGCAGATTTGCTAGTGAAGCTGCGAGAGTCTGAGAAGAATGTCATCAGCCAGGTGGGTCGGTCTTCCTTTTTAAGAAACTGTCTAATGTTTATGGATTATAGTCACTACATCTTCATATTATAAAGACGTGTATTTCACAGTGTCAAACTCACACTGAGAATTTGTGTTTTTATTTACGTACTGAGAGGTGTATATCTCTGTGAATACACAAAGATATATATAATAAGATTTTTATGTCGTTGTTGGTAGCAGGAATGAATGATAAAGGTTTCGGAGGCTTCTTACTTTATTTGTGAAATCTTGGGTACATAGGCAGTGTGTTTAAGTTGTCCTGGCCCCGGGTGGGGGGCCATGCCCACGAGGCACACAGTAGTAGGCCTTGTTGACTCTAGGATGCCTGGACGCCGAGTGAGGGAGAGGCAGGGTGATGCCCTTTGATGTGGCATGCCCACCAGGCTTGACCCCTGGTGGAAACTATTAAAATCTAGGCATGTAGGCTTACAATCTACATTTCACTCAGCCACCTACCACATAGTCGACCATGACCATGTTTGGTTAAGAAAAAAAACTCGTCTCTCTGTCGCAGGAACAGGGCACAGAACAGAATAAAAACATTATATATATATATTATATATATATATATATATATATATATATATATATATATATATATATATATATATATATATATATATATATATATATATATATAATGTCTTGCCGAATATGTAAAATTGTCAATTAGCAAGAACTCATTTAAAATTAAGTCCTTTCTGAATTTTTCTCTTATACGTTTAAAGATATATTTTTTTTCATTAATGTTAATGTAAAAAAATTTAATTTTCCACCAAAATAATCTTAGAAAACTTACCTAACCTTATTGTAACAAGAGCAATTTATTTTAGCCTAACCCAACTAAATATATTCTAAATGTTTTTACAATAATTTAATACTAAACAAACACAATCAAATATATTTTTTTTCGTTAGGTTCAGAATGATTTTGGCGAAATTATTGCATACACAAATTTTCACTTGTCCTATATGGCAAGATGAACGTTGCTATTTAAGCCAAGATCGCAAGTTCTGCCTATTCGGCACGTCATATATATATATATATATGATGTTTTTATTCTGGACATGGAAAAAGCTTCCTACAGGGAGGGAAGAAAAAAAAGTGGGGTATACTAAAAAAAATTGTGGTCCAAGGCAATGAGCATCGATGGGATCACTGGACACCTTCCTTCGTCTGGACAGACACTACAACACAGGAGACATCGCTGCAGCTGAGCTGTGACATAACAGGGTAGGTCTCCTCTGGAGCCGTGAAGCAGTCATTGTAGTAGTCGCTGCAGGTTTCCCTCATCCTGGAGCACAACTTCCTGGTACTCTCGAGTGAGGCATCGTCAATATTCGGCAACTGAGCAGAACTTCTGGCAAGTGACTCAGGAGGACGTTTCTCGACTGGTACTGTCGCTGGGGCTGTCACTGCCGGCGTGTGTGGAGTGAGTCGCGGCAGGGAAGACACAGGGAGTCTTAGAAGCATACGCCATACTGGAGTGAACAAACTGCCAGCCAAAGTGACATCATATTTATGCAGGCTGCTCACTGAAGCTATGACACGAGGCAGACAGTTACCTGCTGACAGGGCTACTTGCTGCTTGACAAGTGTCACTTGACAGTTGGAGATATAGCAGACGTTTATGTCATAAATTGAAATTTTTCTTAGCAAATTAGGCACTTTTAATTATCAAAGTTCAGTGGATTAAAGACTCAATTGATGCTCACACACACATCAGAATTTATGAGATTACTTCTGTGATTTTCAGCCTTTTAACACAATATTTGATTTTACTTTTGGAAGAGAGCCTTGCGCTCCTTTACTTACCTGCAGGTTCCCAAGACAACCTAGTGATAAACAGCTAGATAAGGACGACAAAGTGTACACACATATACACTCACAATCAATTCACCCGTCTGTAAAAATTATATCTAATTTCTTAGATCAATTTCTCCATGAATCATTAAAGGTGTCTAACAAAGTCACTTGCTAATATATGTATGTGTATTTTTTCAGAGCCATCTTAAAGATAAAGAAAAATATTTTGCACAAGAAAAGACAAACGACCAGCTTACCATCAGCACTCTGAGAGCAGAATTGGATCGCTTATATGAGAAGCAACAAAGGCAGCAGCAAGCGGAGGCTACATTTAAGGTAGGACTCACGAGAAACAACCTTGAATAAGAGAGAATAGGTACGACCCCTAATGGGGTGAGTGAGGAAGTGGGGATAGTGGAAGAATAGGTGGATGAAAGGAACGTTCATGAGTGGAAAGGATATTACCAGGGCTAAACCCAATCGCTAGGCAGATAGAGGCTCAGGACTTCTGGACGCGGAAAGGAACGCAAGGTCCAGGGGAAGGGGCGCCGATACGCGACTTTACAAGGTACTGGCTAGGGTCTATATTTAAAAAGGACGTCTTTTAAGGTCCACACCTTTGAGGACAGGTTGAAACGGACCTAGCTAGATACATGCTGAGCACAATAATGTGGTTTAGGCGGCAGTTACGTTTGTCTCCTGCACTCCAGGTGTGTAGTGGATTTTATTTTACTCAAACGTAGAAATCAGGGGAATGGAAGGCATTCAGGCTCGATTCATGGAATTGGAGAAAATCCTTAAATCAAGAACCCCTCACCAGCATCAAGGAACCTCCGGAAACGTTTCGCTACACAGTGGCTTCATCAGTCCATACAAAGGAGAATCGTGAAGAACAGGAGAAGAATGAGGTAATCAGTCCCTCAACCTTGAGTCGATGTGGTCAGTCCATCAATCTTGAATAGAATACAGCATATGTGCCTGACCACATCGACTCAAGGTTGAGGGATTGATTACCTCATTCTTCTGTTCTTCATGATTCTCCTTTGTATGGACTGATGAAGCCACTGTGTGGCGAAACGTTTCCTCAATAAAGATACCCAAGAGTTGCACATGTGTCTAATTTACCAACGTGCCGGTTCTCTGAACCATTCATCTACAATCAAGGAACCTCCCTTGAGAGGCCAGGTTCACAGCCTCAGTTTCTGATATATTCGACAGTGATCCACTTACTAACTGATCTCTTCTACCTCAGCTCCTAATCCAAAAAATTTGATCACCAGACTGAACAGCTTCGTAAGTTTGCATCTCAAAATTATCTACATTTATCCGCTGCATCAATTACAAAATCAATTTGTCTAATGTTAGACTGTCGACACAGATTATGAATTCTTAAGTTACTTCAGATTACCTGAACTTAGTAAACTTCATTAATTCAATCACTGATATTCGAAAAATGTCAATTTTGAATGCGAATTTTCTCTTGAAATTCAAGATTAGTTACGTTTTTTAAGTGTTGTCATCACGTTCAAAAATTTTAGTCAGATTTCATAGGCTAATATTTTACTAAACATAACATTAATTTTTACCAGATCCCTAAAATTTGGTGTTCAAGTTAGTAAAATAACAAAAAAATCTATAAATAAATCTAAAAATCCACACAATGTCAGATATTTCTAACAAATAATTTTTCTATTATTAGAATCAGATGAATTTCAACCGAACACTGAACAAAGAACTTCAACACTGTTGTTCATGAATAACTAAATTGTTAAATAATAACTCACATGGGGACAGAAACTCAGGAGATTAATTGGTCTGTGTATGAGGATCCTCTGCAGCAGAAGAGGATCCCAGAAATGCATCGAAATATACAGATTAATTAATCTCCTGTGTTTGTGTCTCCCTCTGGTTACTATTGATGATTACTGTACATGAGTAGCCTTGTGTACATAAGTAGCCTTGTGTACATAAGTAGCCTTGTGTACATAAGTAGCCTTGTGTACATAAGTAGCCTTGTGTACATAAGTAGCCTTGTGTACATAAGTAGCCTTGTGTACATAAGTAGCCTTGTGTACATAAGTAGCCTTGTGTACATAAGTAGCCTTGTATACATAAGTAGCCTTGTGTACATAAGTAGCCTTGTGTACATAAGTAGCCTTGTGTACATAAGTAGCCTTGTGTACATAAGTAGCCTTGTGTACATAAGTAGCCTTGTGTACATAAGTAGCTTTGTGTACATAAGTAGCCTTGTGTACATAAGTACCTTTGTGTATATAAGTAGCCTTGTGTACATAAGTAGCCTTGTGTACATAAGTAGCCTTGTGTACATAAGTAGCCTTGTGTACATAAGTAGCCTTGTTGTACATAAGTACCCTTGTGTACATAAGTAGCCTTGTGTACATAAGTAGCCTTGTGTACATAAGTAGCCTTGTGTACATAAGTAGCCTTGTGTACATAAGTAGCCTTGTGTACATAAATAGCTTTGTGTACGTAAATAGCCTTGTGTACATAAGTAGCCTTGTGTACATAAGTAGCCTTGTGTACATAAGTAGCCTTGTGTACATAAATAGGCTTGTGTACTTAAATAGGCTTGTGTACATAAGTAACCTTGTGTACATAAGTAGCCTTGTGTACATAAGTAGCCTTGTGTACATAAGTAGCCTTGTGTACATAAGTAGCCTTGTGTACATAAGTAGCCTTGTGTACATAAGTAGCCTTGTGTACATAAGTAGCCTCTTGTACATAAGTAGCCTTGTGTACATAAGTAGCCTTGTGTACATAAGTAGCCTTGTGTACATAAGTAGCCTTGTGTACATAAGTAGCCTTGTGTTCATAAGTAGCGTTGTGTACATAAGTAGCCTTGTGTACATAAGTAGTCTTGTGTACATAAGTAGCCTTGTGTACATAAGTAGCCTTGTGTACATAAGTAGCCTTGTGTACATAAGTAGCCTTGTGTACATAAGTAGCCTTGTGTACATAAGTAGCCTTGTGTACATAACTGGCCTTGTGTGCATAAATAGCCTTGTGTACATAAGTAGCCTTGTGTACATAAGTAGTCTTGTGTACATAAGTAGCCTTGTGTACATAAGTAGCTTTGTGTACATAAGTAGCCTTGTGTACATAAGTAGCCTTGTGTACATAAGTAGCCTTGTGTACTTAAGTAGCCTTGTGTACATAACTGGCCTTGTGTGCATAAATAGCCTTGTGTACATAAATAGGCTTGTGTACATAAGTAGCCTTGTGTACATAAGTAGCCTTGTGTACATAAGTAGCCTTGTGTACATAAGTAGCCTTGTGTACATAAATAGCTTTGTGTACGTAAATAGCCTTGTGTACATAAGTAGCCTTGTGTACATAAGTAGCCTTGTGTACATAAGTAGCCTTGTGTACATAAATAGGCTTGTGTACTTAAATAGGCTTGTGTACATAAGTAACCTTGTGTACATAAGTAGCCTTGTGTACATAAGTAGCCTTGTGTACATAAGTAGCCTTGTGTACATAAGTAGCCTTGTGTACATAAGTAGCCTTGTGTACATAAGTAGCCTTGTGTACATAAGTAGCATTGTGTACATAAGTAGGTTGTGTACATAAGTAGCCTTGTGTACATAAGTAGCCTTGTGTACATAAGTAGCCTTGTGTACATAAGTAGCCTTGTTTACATAAGTAGCCTTGTGTACATAAGTAGCCTTGTGTACATAAGTAGCCTTGTGTACATAAGTAGCCTTGTGTACATAAGTAGCCTTGTGTACATAGGTAGCCTTGTGTACATAAGTAGCCTTGTGTACATAAGTAGCTTTGTGTACATAAGTAGCCTTGTGTACATAAGTAGCCTTGTGTACATAAGTAGCCTTGTGTACATAAGTAGCCTTGTCAACATAAGTAGCCTTGTGTACATAAGTAGTCTTGTGTACATAAGTAGCCTTGTGTACATAAGTAGTCTTGTGTACATAAGTAGCCTTGTGTACATAAGTAGCCTTGTGTACATAAGTAGCCTTGTGTTCATAAGTAGCGTTGTGTACATAAGTAGCCTTGTGTACATAAGTAGCCTTGTGTACATAAGTAGCCTTGTGTACATAAGTAGCCTTGTGTACATAAGTAGCCTTGTGTACATAAGTAGCCTTGTGTACATAAGTAGCCTTGTGTTCATAAGTAGCGTTGTGTACATAAGTAGCCTTGTGTACATAAGTAGTCTTGTGTACATAAGTAGCCTTGTGTACATAAGTAGCCTTGTGTACATAAGTAGCCTTGTGTACATAAGTAGCCTTGTGTACATAAGTAGCCTTGTGTACATAAGTAACCTTGTGTACATAACTGGCCTTGTGTGCATAAATAGCCTTGTGTACATAAATAGGCTTGTGTACATAAGTAGCCTTGTGTACATAAGTAGCCTTGTGTACATAAGTAGCCTTGTGTACATAAGTAGCCTTGTGTACATAAATAGCTTTGTGTACGTAAATAGCCTTGTGTACATAAGTAGCCTTGTGTACATAGGTAGCCTTGTGTACATAAGTAGCCTTGTGTACATAAATAGGCTTGTGTACTTAAATAGGCTTGTGTACATAAGTAACCTTGTGTACATAAGTAGCCTTGTGTACATAAGTAGCCTTGTGTACATAAGTAGCTTTGTGTACATAAGTAGCCTTGTGTACATAAGTAGCCTTGTGTACATAAGTAGCCTTGTGTACATAAGTAGCCTTGTCAACATAAGTAGCCTTGTGTACATAAGTAGTCTTGTGTACATAAGTAGCCTTGTGTACATAAGTAGTCTTGTGTACATAAGTAGCCTTGTGTACATAAGTAGCCTTGTGTACATAAGTAGCCTTGTGTTCATAAGTAGCCTTGTGTACATAAGTAGCCTTGTGTACATAAGTAGCCTTGTGTACATAAGTAGCCTTGTGTACATAAGTAGCCTTGTGTACATAAGTAGCCTTGTGTACATAAGTAGCCTTGTGTACATAAGTAGCCTTGTGTTCATAAGTAGCGTTGTGTACATAAGTAGCCTTGTGTACATAAGTAGTCTTGTGTACATAAGTAGCCTTGTGTACATAAGTAGCCTTGTGTACATAAGTAGCCTTGAGTACATAAGTAGCCTTGTGTACATAAGTAGCCTTGTGTACATAAGTAGCCTTGTGTACATAACTGGCCTTGTGTGCATAAATAGCCTTGTGTACATAAATAGGCTTGTGTACATAAGTAGCCTTGTGTACATAAGTAGCCTTGTGTACATAAGTAGCCTTGTGTACATAAGTAGCCTTGTGTACATAAATAGCTTTGTGTACGTAAATAGCCTTGTGTACATAAGTAGCCTTGTGTACATAGGTAGCCTTGTGTACATA